CGACATTAAAATGTTAAATAAAAACAGTAACAAAATACACACAAAAACAAACCGAAGACAGTGGCGGCGGACCATCAACCCCCTTTGGCGAACTTACACGAGGAATTTAATGACAACACTAAAAAGTTTAAGCGTTATTATTTCTAGGGTAGCCACCCCCTCTACGGCCCCCGAAAATCAGCTCCAAGGATAAGGATAAGAAGAAGAAGAGAGCTTAGGCAGAGGGATGATGAATCGGAATGGATGGATGAGTGGGAGGAAAAAATACGACGGCTGTAAAATGGCAAATTCATGACCTGTGCCTGTGTGTGTGTGTGCATTCTAATGGCAACTAAAAACGAGCGGATTGTAACGATTCGGTTATTACCGTTATATTGCCGAAACAGCGCGCGCTACGAACAACCCAAACCCCCTTAACCCCCTAAAAACCCCCTGAAAGAAACAAAGTCGAAACGCACATAACTCAATCTTCGACGGAGGTAGAAAAATGTAACCCCCTCCATTTCGTAGAATCCTTGTTCCTTTCCCCCTTTTTTTATTGCTAATGGCAAAGAAGAAGAAGAAAACGCAGGGTTGCTTTTGCTGCTGCTACTGCAGTTTATGCGCTGCTGTTAAACTTACGGTAGTTTACCGCCGCAACAGCCCAAGAGCCACGCCCCCCGCCTCCACCACCATCTACGCCCACATTCTCGCTGGCTTAAAAACGAAACAATTTTTACAACTTTGTTGTTTGCCTGCGGCATTCGCCTTGGCCATTTCTAGTTGCCCCGTAAAGTGAATGTAGTAATTTTTCAAAAATCTTTGTCTTTAATGGACCATTAAGCGCTCTTTCGGCCGCTGTCCCTGTCTCTGTCCCCTTTTCCTTTCCCTTCTACTAAAAACTGACAACTTGGCTTTTTGGACCTTGGCTAGACTCGAGTTCTCCGCCTCCGCCCATCGTCAATATTGCGATTCGGTTGTAAAAAATGCGTTTTAATGCTTCAATAAAATAAAAAGTTTGCATTAAAAGCAGCAAAAGGAGCAGGATCAGGGATGCGCAGCTCCGGACGAAACAATTAGCGTAAAAAATAGACGATGCAGCTCAGAAATAGTGTAAAAGGTCCTTTTAGGCACTCAAGAATTCGCGTCACCTTAGAACGGAGAGGGGGGATTGAACTCTACACATTATATATATATCAACATCCTGCGGCGACTCTGCATTTTCGAGGTAAAATTAATGTTTAATCAACAAAGTGGTCGGTAATATAGCCCAGTCAGTATATCCACAATCGCCACCCCTGTCGTCATCGCAAAACTAGCGAAATTGCATCAAAGAAACGAAAATATTTGCAGTGCGTGGGCCGGGGAAAAAGCGAAATAAAAATTGAAATCGGATAATGCAAACAGCAAATTAAAAACCAGTCATGTTACAGAAAGGGGTCCATCTCCCATCTACCGTTTCCCATCTCCCAGTCGATATCCGAAAGGAGAGCCCCATGCCACACACCATATCACCACATACCACATTGATTCGTTTGGTAGGCAATGCTGATGCCGTGTGTTTGGGCCCGCTAATTGAAAGCCACTGCCACCTTTGCGCTTTGCAGCCAAAGACAAATATTGGACGGAGCGCGGCTTTATGCATATTTAAAATCAATTAAGTCAATAAATAATAAGGACAACCTTAATGCGATTGCATATGAACGAAATGCGGCAAATGCCGACTGTTTGCAGGGACTGCAGTCTATGAGAATCCATGGGAAAACCAAAAAAAAAAAACGCCGGGGGGTCAAGAATCCATACAATCCATAGAGGCGACACGCTTGAAGAGCCCTTGGTAGCTGGCCACTTGGTAGGCACTTGGAAAAGGAAAAGCGGCCCCGAAACTGGATGCAAATGCAAATGCAAATGCACTCAACGATGAGTTGCAAATTGTTGCAAATCGTTTGTGCGCGCCACTGAATGGGGCACACACAAAGCGGTCGCCGAGGCACGGCAGCCAAAGCACTCGGCCACGAAATCTGGACACAAAGTGCGACCCATTCCCGTTCTTGATACTAAATGGCTAAATGGTACATGGTACATGGTGCATGGCCAAGTGGAGCAGAGGAAACCTGAACTGAGCCGAGCCAGCGAGGCGAAATCAAATGAAACAATCGGCTAAACGAGCTGCCCCAGTGAGGCAGCCAGCCAAAAAGGAGGAAAACCAAGGAACGCAACCAGATTCAGAGGAGCAAAAGGACCAAAAGGAGCAAAAGGACGAAAAGGGAGCAAAAAGTGACTGCCACTGGGTGGCAAAAGCCAAAAGCAATCAGAGTAGCCAAAAAGAATGCAACGGAGATGGCGAAAGACAAGCAACAAACACGCATTCACCCATCCAACCATTATACACCATTCACACCATACACCCCGCACACACGGAGGCAATCAGAGGGTTTCATTCATGACGACGAACTCGAAGCCCCAGTTCTCAGTCCTCAATCCTCAGCCGCATGTCCTTGCCGGGGCCACGGCCCACTTCCACTTGCAACTCTTACTCCCACTTCCGCATCCGCATCCACATCCATAGCCGCATCCACATCCCCAGCCACATCAACATGCACATCTTTTTGCTTTCGTTTTAGAAAACTCACAGCTCGCACGACACTCGACACTCGACGATGGAAACTCGAAAACCAGCCAGACCAGACCAGACCAGACCGATCACGCCAAAAAGAAACTGCAACGAATCAAGGACGAATTTTTTGGCAGTCGTTTTTGCTCCTCACACGGAGTGTGTGCCACTGCCACATGTCCAAAGCCCCACGACCCTCCTCCAGTTTGGCTTTGTTTTCCGCCGACTCGCCTGGATGTTGCTCCTTTTTCCACACACACACGAGGCACACGGCGATTCTTTGGCGTTTTTTGTGCCGAGCGAAACGACTCTGGATGCTCGGGTGGCAGCCGGTAGCTGCCAAAAAGAAAGCATAACGGAGGCGACCCAGATATCAGCACTTGTACAAAGTGCCGTGCCCCTTCCCTATCCATAACCATTCGATACACATTAGTGGAACCCGCTGACACAGCCGTGCTAAAAAGCAATGGCAGTCGTAAGATGGGAAGCTCAAGCTGGAGATCCAGGAGATGTCCACTCGGTAAAAGTAGAGGTAGAGGTAGTGGAGATGGAGCAGAAGCACTATCAATCTGACACGGCGGATCCTCCTGATGGCCTTCTCATGCATAGGTGATGAACATCCGCATCCATATCCGCATCCACATCCGCGACCAGGCTAAGCCGTGCAGAACAAAGAGTCGAGCGAAACACAAACACAAATCCCGGTTTGTAAGCCAATTTGCACTTAGGCTTATCTAATGTCGTATCATTTGTATAATGCTCTGTTTGGCCTGATACTTGATGTCTACTGTGTGTAGTCAATACTCGGCTCCCGATTCCTATACTCTACTCGAAGCTCGAAGCTCTTGAAACTCGACCCTCGTATGGAAAACTGAGTGCGTGGGCGTGTGCGCCTTATCCTGCGGGGTTCATTTCTAAGCTCATTTATGTTTATCACAAATGCGTGCCAAAGTGTGTCGTTATTCTTCCACCTCCACATCTCCCACAGCTCCACATACACTCCCCAACTTTCAGGCATCGTCGATGTTGTCGAAGTTGTTGGCATGGCGCGAACAAAAACATTTCAAATATTCAAAAAAGCCACACACTCGCACAAGACATCAACCCCCTTCCAAAAGACCCCCCCTAAGACACCAGAAATACGAGTTGCGAGCTGTACTCAACTAGTCGGGACATGTACTGGCCATAGAAATTCATCTAACGGCTGTAACAGGTAATTGAACTTGGTTATATGGCCCTCGGAATGGCGTCGCGCTGCAAATGGAAATGTGGAAAAGCTCGAAGGGTCGAGGGGTTGAAGGGTCGAGGGGTCGAAGGGTCGGGTAAATGGAAATGGAAATGGAATTGAATGACGCGCGCATCGTGTGCCAAATGTGACGTCCTCGGTTGGGAACTGGGAACTCGGGGAGCTGAGAACTGGGAACTGAGAACTCAGAAAACAGTAGCAATGCGTGCGAACTATATAATGCGGGCATAAAAAGGATTTGCACAAGGAGCATGTGTGCGTGGCAGTGGAAGGAGGAAAAGAAGAAAATCCAAGACTACGGGCTACATGAAAATTGCAAATTGTATGCCATAGTTGGGGGAAGGGATCCAGATCCAGGCCAACTGTTGAACTGCTGAATAATTCATGGCCAACTGGAGATTTGTGCAGTGGCAAGATGATGTCTGCTAAGCGCGTTTGATGCCGATTTGTGGCACGCATAACTGTAAATCGGCCGAAAAGCCAGAGCAACGTTGATGATGCCACTGGTGCTTAGATGGGAATGGAATAGGGGTGGCTTTGGGTTGGCAGGACACTCTGCTCTATTTGCCACTCACGAACTGTGCCACACGAAGCGATCAAAACAAACTGAAAGAAGCAAGCTGCAGCTGGGCAAAAAAAGCAGTGACTCCACTTGCAGCACTTCTTTTGCTTGCCGCACAAACACACAGACACACACAAACCCAAAACCCAATTCGCGGACACTTGCTGTCGACACTGGGCGCCTGGTGGCCATTGCCATGTCCCCACTCGCATGTGTGCCCCATGTGGGTGGCACGTAGCACGTTGCACTTGGCTTGGTCTTGTTGTCCTCCCCTCCGATTGTGTTAGGGACTTCTTTCTTTTGTTGGCCACCCAGCAGGCAAGCCAACAGGTGGCAGCTACTTCTGGACACATGCAGGCAGCATAACCACAGACCACAGCCACACCACCCACCATGCAACCCACCGTGCAACCCCAACCACCCACTGAAGGACGTTCGGCATGGCGGCGCACTTTTCCTTCCTTTTGGCATGCAACTTTTTGTGTGCACTCTGCCTGCTTCTTTCTGTTCTGTTTCTTTTCAACCATCGACCCCCCAACCCCTCGAACATGTTGCCCCTTTTCACAGACGTCGCTTTAAAGATATGGTATTTATTCAAGTTAGGCACTAGCACTAAAGGTAGGTTAAAAGAATCGTTGGTCGGAATTCAAGTGTCCGTCGTATTTCTATGCTGTATTGCGGAAGCTAGCGATGTCGTCCAGCTCCAGTGGCTTCCACTGGATGTCGACATGCTTGTTGATCCGCTCCTCCTCCTCGTCGCAGCCTCCAGAGCAGTTGGACTTCTTATAATTATCAGCTGGGTCTGTGGTAGTCATAGGTAGTCATGGGTCAGAGGAATTGGTCAGGTAGTGTAGGTTGTATTGTCGAGGGGAACTCAATCAATAGAGTAGCGTAATCAAGACTTACCGTATTTGTGGTCGTGGTCCTGGTCGCAGGACTTCGGGCAGAAGACAATCTTCAGGTCGATGGGCTCGTACACCTTCACGATGAGCTGCGGCACCTTCTCGGTGGAGTAGTCCTCGGGGCCGGACACTAGTGGGTTGGATGAGGATGTTGGGTTGACTTGGTTAGCTTGGCTCACTGGGTTGCTTGGCTTGGATGAGATGGCGATGGGTGTTAGGTGGACGGTTTGGTTGCGGGCCGCCAGCAACCAAGGTCTTCTGTTCACCGACAGAACTTCCCGTCGGTCTGGCACTGCCGCAGATGGGACTTTTGCAGATGAAACCATTGCCGAGGCAGTGGGAAGTGTTTCCGAAGTGGTCGGTGTGACTACTTCTAATGGTTTCAGCGTCGTGAATGTTTCGGGCCCTCTTAGGGGTTCCGTGGATGTTTCTGTGGATGTTTCTGTTTGTTTCGGAGTAGATGTTTCTATTCTAGATGTTCTATTTGGTATTGTTGTTTGCATTAATGTGTGTGGCATGGTAAGAACTGTGTTTCCTGGTGCCCCGACTGCCAGTCCCTTGAACAGAAGCCCGTCGGATGCGGCTTTCGATGCAATTTTAGCTGGTGAGCTAGTGAGAACCACGTGACGCTTGGCTGTGGCTACTAAGCCTTTGCTCCGATCTTTCTTCTCAGCAGGCTCGTCTTCCATGTAGTCTTCGTCATCATCATAGTACTCCGAGCTCAGGTGAGACGAATTCCTCGCTCGAGTTGGGGGTTTAGTCGTTTCAGGCCTTGCGGTTGAACTAGAACTGGTACTAGTTCTGGCAGTAGTAGTTGTTGTAGTAGTACTGCTTGTAGTAGTACTTGTAGTAGTACTTGTACTAGATGTCTGAGGGACAGCTGTGGCCTCTGGCTTCTTCTGTTCCATTCGAGTCAGCCGGTCCTTGAGCAGGCTCAACAAAAAGTTCTTCCTTGCTTCCAGGCTCGTGACCACCCCACTTGGAATCTCGTTTCCGTCGCTCCCATCATTGGGATAGTCAGAGTCACCAGAGCTGTCCCCGTACTCCAAGTCGCCAGTCGTCGTCGACGGCTCAATTGGCTTTGCTGTACTTGTGGAGGAGGGAACTGAACTGGACTGATTTGGCAGGGAACTAGTCTCCCGCTCAGTAGTCGAAGATGGGGCCGGGACCACAGCGGCCACAGTTGTGCTGGACATGGCCTTCGGCTGGACTTTGGTCAGCACTTCGTTATCCTCGTCCGCATACTGCTCCGAAGTCTCGCTGTCGTAGTACTCGGAGTCCTCCGCCTCCTTCTTGGTGGGCTTCACGGTTAGCTGAATAGAACGCTTCTGGTTGGAGGCCAGCTGCTGGATGGAGAGCCGCAGCGAGTGGGCGATGAAGGGCTTGGAGGTGGCCAGGTTGTGCCTGGCCATCTGGGCAAGGGTTACGCCCGGCGACGAAGGCCGACTTGAAGGCGGACGTTGGCTAGTCGAGGCGGGATGCTCCCTGCTCGGCGGCGTCGTGGAGATTATGTGGAATAGCTTCCGCAGCAGATGCGCCGCCGCCAGCGTGGACATGGTCGAAGCCCTCGCCGTTGTCGCTTGCCCAGACTCTCCCTCCGCTGAGGATGCTGGGGCATCGTCCATGTAGTCGGGCTCATCCCCCAAATCCCCACCCAAAGTATTCCTACTTTCTGTTGTTTTGGCTGTTGTGTTGGCTTGTTGTTTTTGCGGTGAGTGTAGTTGAAGTTGTTTCACTTGTCGGAGTTCTTGTGTGCATGCGGGATTTGTGTTGTTATCTGTAAGGCAAGTGTCGTGATTAGGTGTTCTCTGTGTGGAGGAGTGTTCGAAATGGTTTGGGTATGTGCTTTGGGCTCAAGGACTTACCTGAGGTGGAGTCCGAATCGGGACAGTGAGGGCGCGTGGCGGTGGTCAGTTCAGTTGTGGTGGTGGAGTTCTGCGCGGGAATGGTAGTCGTTGTTACCGTGGATGTGGCCGTAACTGATGTCGGCTCCCGAGTTGTAGTAGGCGGTTTTTGGGTGCTCGAGCTTGGTTTTAGGGATGTCGTGGTTACCGTAGAGGTTTTCGGAGTAGTGGTTGTCACAGTAGTCGTTTTAGGAGTCGTCGGCGTTGATGGTTTTTGAGTCGTAGAAGTTGTGGTTGGTTTTTCGGTACTCGTCGGTTTAAGAGTACTTTCTGTGGTTTTTACGGTGGTAGTTGTAACGGTTGACGTTTTCGGAGTGGTCGTTGTTTGTTTTTGGGTAGTGGTTGTCGGCTGGTTCGTTGTTGTAGGCTTAGGAGTGGTAGTTGTTGGCTTAGGAGTAGTTGTGGTTGGTTTAGGAGTAGTTGTGGTTGGTTTTTCACTAGTGGTTGTCACGGTAGTTGGTTTTGGAGTCGTCGTTGTGGTTTTCTCTGTAGTTGTTGCCGGTTTAGTAGTAGGTTTTTGAGTGGACGTAGTAACTGTAGAGGTTATAGGAGAAGTCGTTGTTGGTTTGTCAGTAGTCGTTGTCACTTTAGTTGTGCTCGTCGTTGTTGTAGGCTCAGCGGAAGTAGTGGTCGGTTTTTGAGTGGACGTAGTTTTCTGAGTAGTCGTGGTTGGTTTTTCGGTACTTATTGTTGGCTTAGGAGTATTCGTAGTCGTAGTAACTGTTGAGGTTTTCTGTGTAGTCGTTGTTGGTTTTTGGGAAGTGGTTGTCACTTTAGTTGTGCTCGAAACCGATATTGTTGTCCCTTGGGTCGTTTTTGTGGTTTTAGGAGTTGTACTCGTTGGTTTTTCAGTGGTAGAAATTTTTGCAGTCGTCGTGGTTGGTCTTTCGGTACTTGTTGTAGGTTTCGGTGTACTTTCCGTTGTCTTTACAGTGGTAGTAGTAACAGTTGGTTTTTGGGTAGTGGTCGTTATCTTAGTGGTGCTTGGAACCGTCGCTGTTGTCTTCTGGGTCGTTGTTGTAGGCTTAGGAGTAGTAGTGGGTTTTGGAGTAGATGTGGTTGGTTTAGGAGTGGTAGTGGTTGGTTTAGGAGTAGTAGTTCTGGGTTTCGGAGTAGTTGTGGTCGGTTTTTGAGTGGACGTAGTTTTCTGTGTAGTCGTGGTTGGTTTTTCGGTACTTGTTGTTGGTTTAGGAGTACTCGTTGTGATTTTTTCGGTGGTAGTTGTCACAGTAGTCGTACTCGGCTTTTGAGTAGTTACTTTTGGAGTTGTTGAGGTAGGTTTAGGAGAACTTTCTGTTGTCTTCTTGGTAGTTGTTGTAGCCTTTGAGGTTTTCTGAGAAGTCGATGTTGGTTTTTGGCTAGTGGTTGTAACTTTAGTTGTAGTTTTTGGAGTAGTAACTGTTGGTTTTTGAGTAGTCGTACTAACTGTAGAAATTTTCTGAGTGGTTGTGCTTGGTTTTTCGGAACTTGTTGTAGGCTTAGGAGTACTTTCGGTTGTTTTCTTAGTGGTAGTTGTAACGGTCGACGTTTTCTGAGTAGTCGTTACTGGTTTTTCAGTAGTGGTTGACACTGTTGTAGATTTTGGAGTGGTGGTGGTCGGTTTTTGAGTAGTTGTCTTCACTGAAGTTGTTTTCGGAGTCGTCTTAGTAGGTTTTTCGGTACTTATTGTAGTTTTAGGAGTAATTGTTGTTGCTTTCTTTGTGGTTGTAGTAACTGGAGAGGTCTTATGAGTTGTCGTGCTTCGTTTCTGAGTCGTTGATGTCACAACAGTCGTTTTCGGAGTCGTTGTAGTAGTTCTTTCGGTAGTTGTTGAGGTCTTCTGAGTTGTTTTCGGAGTCGTAGTAGTAGTTGTGCTTGGTTTGGCAGTTGAGCTTGCCGTTGGCAAAGTGGGGCATGTCGGAACAGTTGGTTTGACCGTTGTCGTGGTGGTCGAAGTTGTGCTGGTCGTTGTGGGCAGAATCACAATATTTTCCGATAGATGCAAGCCATTGAAAGCTCTCTTGTTTTCCGGAGCCTCAGTCTTTTCATCTTCCTTGGCACTTGCATAGGTGTACCGTTTGTACTGATATTTGGTGGTTTCCTTTGCAGTTGTAGGCGCAGGTGTTGTGGGCAGGATGACAACGTTCTCTGACAGCTTAAATCTGCGCGAAACGTCCTCTTTCTCAACGGTCAAGCTCTCCGCAGGGACTTCTTTGGCGCTGTGGTGTGAAGAGTGGTGCTCATATGAGGGATACGAGTCGTATTTGTGGTAGGCGGTGGTGCGCTCCGAAGTGCTTGTGGTCGTTGGCGCCGACTTGGTGGTGGGCAGTATTACCACATTCAGCGAGGGTCTTTCAAAGCCACCTGTTAACCTTTCGGACTTGATGGCAGACTGGTGCTCCTGCTCCTTCGCTCCCGTATCGTAGTCATCCTCCTCGTAGAGCGGCGGTGGCGCCTGGTAGGGCGGATAGTAGGGCTGCGGAGCATAGGGCACTGGCACTTGGGGCTCTGGGACATAGTCAAAGCAGTCGACCTCGTTGCGAGGACGACACAGCTTCCGCTCGAGATCGAAACTGTTGCTGCCGGGGCACTTGAAGCGCGTCTGCAGGTAGGTGCCGCTCGCCTGCAATCGGCAGGTGTAGTAGAGGGCGCAGTCCGTCGGCGAGCGGAAGGTGCCCTCCTCGGAGCACTCGGGGAACTTTAGCTCGCAGTTCTGCGGGATGTAGCTGCCGCTGTCCGAGATCTCCGTCGAGGGGCACTGGTCGCCGGGCAGGCACTTGCGCTCCACCGGCGAGAAAATGGTGCCCGCCGGGCAGGCGAAGAGCCACGGCTGCGTGCGATTCTTGTCGCACCTGTAGTACACCTTGCAGTCGTGGGGATGGGGAAAGCGACCCTCCTTCTGGCACTGCGGCGGCCTGTGGTCCACTGCTCGGTGCTGCGGAATGTGCTGCACGCACCGCCCGCTGCTCGAATTGAAGCTCTGTGGAGGGAAAGAGGGGAAAAGGAAAAGGCGGGTGAGTTGTCTGGCGGGGGGTAATTTCTTTACCTAACACTCACCTCAAGATCGCGGCATTTGCTGAAGATAACACAGTTGGGCTTGCAAACATAGTAGTACTGGTGCTGATCCGGATGCGGCTTGATGCCAATGTAGTTCCGAGAGCAACGATTGTTCTGCAATCGCAAAAATTTTAATTAATTTCGTAAATTTTAAATTTAACACAGATTTAAGTATCTGTAAGGTTATGTTTTTAAATGGCATATTATAAATTGTTTTGTATTTTCTGTTTTTATTTGTTGAGCTAATTAGATTTTTCTAATGTAAAGTTAAAACGACATTTAAATCAAACTTGAACCCATTTTCAAACGTGTAAAATAGATCTTACATTTAATTTAAGAATTTTTTGGTAATCAAGGAATTAAGTATAATTAAATATATTTTTTTTTATACCACAAACAAAGTGTAACAAAATTTCAAGAATGAAACTGAATGATAAATATTATATTAATTATTCTGCGTTTTCAGTAGGTAATCAAAGATATATGTGTAATTGAATATTATTTTTAAATATCAAAAATAAAGTGTACAAAAATGTCAATGAATGATAAATATTCTATTAATTACACTATGCAGCATCAAAAATTTACCTCGATGGATACTATATTTTTGGATTTGTTACGAATTCCAAAGTTAAACTGCGTTTTCCAAAAAGTTCCCCGACGCAAGGATTCTTAGCAAAAGGACCTCAAAGTTCGTAAAATTCAGAAATTGGCCAACTTTCCAAAGCTCTCAGAGGCAAACGGATTCATGGTTTGGTTAGATGCTAAAGTTTTTTAAAAGATACACTCTTTATCTTTCAAACCCCATACTTAGAATAATTTTAGGATTTTTATTAAGGGAGAAACAAGTTTTAGAAAACATAGTCAAAAAACATAAAAGCATACAGCTGCGGTCAAAATAGTAGTAGTGTTGCCGTCATGTGTTTTTAAAAGTTTTTTGTTGTCACTTTTCTTATCCAATTAGTCTAATAGTACAATTATAATCAATACAATATTACCAGAAGAAGATGAATTACAACAGCAAACTTTTAAAAACACAGGGTGGCAACACTACTACTATTTTGACCGCAGCTGTATGTTTTTAAGTTTTTTGACTATGTTTTCTGGAATCTATTTCTGCCTTAATAAAAATCCTAAAATTATTCTAAGTATGGGGCTTAAAAGATAAAGAGTGTATCTTTTAAAAAACTTTAGCATCGAATCAAACCATGAATCCGTTTGCCTCTAAGAGCTTTGGAAAGTTGGCCAATTTCTGCATTTTTCGAACTTTGAGGTCCTTTTGTTAAGAATCCTTGCGTCGGGGAACTTTTTTGAAAACGCAGTTTATCTTGGGAATTCGTAACGAATCCAAAAATATAGCATCCATCGAGGTAAATTTAAAAAGCACTAAAAATGCTGCACAGTGTTATCTTTCTGGAATTTATCAAATATTTTGCTTCCAGAATTTTGGTACTTAATTTGCATTATCAGAATAATCAGAAATAAACTTGGATGGCCCTAATTCCTATGCACTACTTCACTATCTACTCACATAATCGAACCGCACGGGATATCCACCGCCGGGGTAGCTCTTGTAGACTCCGAAAACGTTGTCGTAGTAGGGGCTGTAAACGGGTGGTGGCGGCGGTGGCGCCTGGTAGCCATAGCCGTAGGCGGGGTAGGCGTACGGGGGTTGTCCATAGTATCCGGTGGGCAGCACGGCCGGATGGGGATATGCACCTGGCACTTGGCGCACCGAGCGGGCAGTCGCCATGGAGAACAGGGCGAGGAGGAGAGAGAGCAGGCCCAACGGAGTCATCATCATGGAGGATCTACTTCAGATGACTCGGAACTAAACAGGAATCAATTTGTCGTGGTCGTGATCCTGGGCTCATCTGATTCCTTAGTCTGGTATTCCTTAGTACTCCTTAGTAATCCTTGGTATTCCTTAGTATTCCTTAGCACTCCTCAGTATTCTTTTGTCGTGGAACCTTGGCTGCTACCGCGGTCAGCTCTGGATGGGCTGTGGTGACTTGGAGCGGGGCAGACGCGCTTAAAAGGTCGCTGGGTGTGCTCGCTTCCGAGAATGTTGCATAACTCGAATGCCGATTGACCGCCGCGTGATTTAAGTACGGAGTGATGTTTGCTGCAGCCCCAAAACAAGACGAACGAGACCAAAACAAATCTCTTGGCTAATAGAGAGCTCGGTGCTCTCCCCACGTGCTCGAAGACCGGAAGAGAGTCTTCGCCGGGGAGCATGACCGCCAGATGCATGACTAAATCAGCTCAGGGGGCCGCCGGAGAGCGACGTGCGCCACTTCCGCACCGGAGATGCTGCTTTCCCGCTTTCCCATTCTCCATTCTCTGCATGAGTAATCTCCAACAGATCCACCAGCTGCAGCCACTCCGATCTGTAGACGTGATCAATGGATCAATTCCTGCAATGATAAAAATGCACCATGTTAGCACATCGTACGCAGTTTCCATCGATTGAACCAACCCAACACCCCCACCCCAAGTTCTAGAGCCCAAGGTCATGTAACCCAAAATTATTGCTTGTTTTTTGCGATTCTTACACGTACGTCGCTCGGTGGGAGTTACGCATCCAAAAATTCAAAATTCGTGGCTTGCTGGTGCGTCATTAAACACGTTCGCCGCTCCAAACGGAAAGACACGAATCGCCTACCGTGCCAAAGAATTAAAAAAAAGCCTAAGACCCAATATCGGGCACGTTTTCCGCAATTAGGAAACAGGAACAGTCGTAATATGGAGGAAAATATTCCAGCGCTATTAAAACATTTAATTTAGAATTAATTACGTTCATATTTCATAATCACATGTGATGTTTTTCAAGTCGTAGGCATTGTAAGAATCAGCTTACAGTTACCATAAATTTATGCTTATATACGCACTTCAGAATCAGTTGCGTGCCGCAAAATAAATAACATAAAGAGAGCAAGAAAACAAAAATGCGTCATTGCATGGCAAAGATTAAAAATAAAAATGCATATTTTATATATTTTTACTTCGCCTTCGAACATGATTTTTTAGCAAGTTTGTGGTCTTCTTTGTAAGAAAAAATACTCTGATACGGATGAGCTGCATTTCCGGTTCAGAACGCAAAGATAAAAAACGCGTCTTGGGACCCAATCACCTGCGCTCCGCAAGCCAACTCCCTATCTGGACTACTCAGACTATTTGGAGTACGTGATAATCGGGGATAAACGGGCGCAGGCCCCTTAAGATTGCCATAAAAAAGACTGGAGCCATCTCCATGTCATCGGTGTTGGACAAGCTCGACACTAATCATGTGATGTCCGACCGGAATTCTTGGGATTTGATCACGTCTCGTATTGCCGTCTGAATAGAAAGCGATGGAAGTGCATAGAGATCTACAGATAGACTGCAATATAGAATGGAATATCTAGCAGAGCGGTCGGTCAAAAGTCTGGGGTGGAATGTGCTGAAGACATGTGCGGAAGATTGCATACAGGGGAATCTTCCAATGACGTAGTATATATCTAAATAATATCTAAAGAGCAGCTAGTAGAAATAACCTTCAACATATATTGCACTGCTAAGCTTGGAATGTGCGAAATAATGCAATCTTCTCGAGACGCAGAAGAGCGTAAGAATATTCATTGATCGTTTCTTCCACAACCGGCAAAAAAGTAGAGAGCACATAAAGAGAACTCTCCACTGTGGGTTTGAAACTCGACTAACGATCGAAATTTAGCTCAAGCTTTCCAAGTTTCTTCAATGCGGTTGAAGACTCCACTACCGATCTCCAAAGCGGAGTCTCACACCCAAAATAAAAGCTTTTAGCTGGGAAAGAAACTTGAGCAGAGATCCTGGGAGGCCAGTGGGGGCATCCCGGGCATCCTGGCCTCCTCTCGCAGTCTCTTAAATGACAAACTATTCAAAAAGAGCGCCGTGCCAAAGAGAAACCCTCTCCCCCCAACGGAAAACGAAGGAAAAGTCCGCAAGCAACTGAAGAGAAATAGTTAAGAAAAGTTTCCTGCCGGCGGGAGGGAGCAAGTAAAGTAGCAGCCAAAAAGACGAAAAATGATTCCCATTCCCAAAAAAAAGGGGGGGAAAATCCGGCGAGGGGACCAAAATAAACAGTAGCAGCGGCGGCGGCAGAGCGCCGGCAGAGGCTCGAAATCAGGGGCAAAAATGGGAGAGAAAACAAAAAAAAAAAACTAAAGGAAAAGTGTGTATAAAAAATGTTGAAGAAAACGAGACGAAAAGAGCCTGGCTGCTGCATTGGTATTGGTATTGCTGCTGGTGTATTGGTATTGGCGCCGCTTTCGCTGCCGCCGTCGACGTCGACTGCGACGCCGGCGCCATCGCGTGGGTGTGTGGGTGTATTGGGTGTATGGATGAGTGCGTAAGGCTCTCCCCACTTTTCCACTTTTCCACGTTTCCATGTCCCCATGTGGCCAAGACTTTCACTCTCGTTCGGCCGTCGTCGTTTTTCCTTCGACGCCGGCAGCGACGCCAGGTTTTTCTTTTCTGCACCCGTTGAGAAAACGAGGGGGTGGTAAAATGGGGGGTGTATGTGTGATGGAAGAAGTGCTGCCAAGCAAGCGCTAGAAAAAAGCATGCGAAAGTGCGCCAACTGATAAATTTCCACGGCAAAAGGCGAGCCGAAAAAAAATCAAAGGCAACGGTTTCAAGGCTGCTTGGCCACCCCCCTCCCCCCCGGGCAAAGGTAACAGGTGGAGAGTAGAGAGGGAGGGGGTTGCTTCTCCCAACAGGCGACCTTGAGCCCTGGACCTGACTGATGGCAGACGTCATTCTCGGAATGGTAACACAAGCGGAGCAGTCCGTTCTAATTACACAAACAGCTGTACTTCTAGCTGTACAGTCGAAAAAATAGGAAAGAGAAGTACGAAAGGTGTCAAAACCATCAAGGTTCGCGAATTCTTAGGTCTTAAGAGTGATTATGGTATATTTGAGCACTATAATTAGCGGTATAACTTTATTTTGCACTAACCAAAGTAAAATGTTTCCTTACAATTTGGTAGCCTTAGGAAATCAGTGAGAACAGAACAGGAAATATTCTTATTTCTACCATTTTTATACCTATCATATATCTACCATTTGTTATTATTTCAGTCAGACTTCTCAACGACCCCCATAAGTTTAGATATCAAACAAAAATATTTCCTAAAAACCTAAAAAAGATCTGCTATCAACTTTTCTGACGAAATAAGAACACTATCTAAAATGTACTCATTCGGACCACTCAAAAATTTCATATTAAATTCTTAGCTGCTATAGAAATATTTATACTGACTAAAACCAGTTTAACTGACACATTTCTCGTCGTAAAAATAGTAATAATCAATTTACTTAGATCAAACATTTCCAAGAACCAATTTATCTAGAAATTAAAGTTGCGTAGACACATTTCCCCCAGTGTAGCTGTGGCTGTGGCAGCAAACCACCTGTAGGCCTGTGTCCAGCAAGAGGGTGGTGCCCCACATGGGGAGGATTAGACAGGACGGTGGGAGGTGGTGGGTGGGTGGCTGGCTGCACACACACACATTCTCTCTCGTATTCTCTGCTTTGCTGTATCTCTGCCAGAAGGATTTTCTCGCGTTTAGCTTTCTCTTTTTTTGCTTTCTTGCCCGGCAAACTCTGTTTTCAACAGGTTGCAGCAGGCTGTGGGTTTGCCTGTGAGTGTGTGTGAGAGGGGGGTGTGGGGTGTTATGTCCTTGTGCTTTAAGGCGACTTCATGGGGCTATGCCGTGTGACCTTCAGAGCCGGGCTAAGGCTAAGCGCTGCCATGGCAGCAGTCAAGTCCCCCACATCTGTTTTAGTAATCCTGGCAACCAGACATGTGTGTGTGCGTGGGCGCGTGTCCTGGCTGGGGATGTGAATGTCCCTGTCGCTGTCAGCGTTTCACCGCACCCATCGAAATCGCCTGTTGAGCATGTGTATGGCTGTGCACTGGGAAAAAAGGGGGCCTAAATGGATATAATTTGAAGCCCTCAAAATCAAGACTCCTTTTATCGCAAACATTCTTTATCTCTCTCCCTCAAACAGACCACTTTTATTTCAAGGGTACTTTCCTCTTCATTTCAAGACGCTTTTCTCTCAAATTAGTGGACACTGTGCACTGAAAAAAAGAGCCAAAATGGAAATAATTTAAAATTCTCAAAATCAAGACTACTTTTATCTCAAACATAAAGGCAGACTACTTTTATCTCTATTACAAGAGAACTTTTCTCTTAATTTCAAGACGCTTTCTTCTCTAATTAGTGTGCATTTGATCTTGTTTCTTTTTTTTTAAATTTTTCTATCTGAATGACTCGGGGCTCCATTTTACCCGTTGATATCAGTTCAGTCAGTAGTGATAGTGTCGCTCCAATAGCTGAGTTGACCGATTAAGCGTGTCCTGATTTATGGCCCCTATCGAGGCGGCAGCCCAGCCACAACCTGCGGTTGATGTCTTAATCGCCACTCAGGGCGGAGTCGGAATCGGAATCGAAGTCCAAGTCTGCTGGCTGGATCCTGCTGACAGGGGATAGGGAATGGGGCCCACTGTAAACCAGTTCTTCCTTCTGGCAACGGGCAACTGCATTCCCCATCCCCGAACCCAAACACAAACCATCAAGAAATGCAGGATTTGAAAAGGCAAAGGCAAAGGCAACGCATTAGCAGAGACACGTCAAGCGAGCCAGCGAGCCAGAAACTGGGCCCAAAAGCGAAACCGAAGCCGCAGAAATCGGGGCCATAGCATTCAGTGGAGTATAGGGCCAGTATTGAATTGCAGCGACCTACATAGAAAGCAGCGAGGACCGAGAGCTG